ATCTTATATATCCAGTCTTGCAGTAGTTGCTTGATTCCAATTCTGCTCTAATTATTAAGATAATCACTGCTAAGGAAGCGCGAGACAGGTCCCATGGTTTTCATCACTATATATATTTTATTCACATAATCCAATACACGATAAGAAATAAGTCTCCAAGTAGGCATAACAAAACTGACATAATCTCATACACTTCATATATTTTGTAATATACAAAGATGGAAGAAAGCTATTCGGATGCTATGAGATATATACTTAAATCATTGCGAGAGCAAACATTCATGATCCAACATCCGTCTTGACCGTTCAAATTCTCCTTCTTTCTCTCTCTGCGCATGACTTTCTAAAAGAAAACGTTATCTTAATACTAAAATACGAAACAATTATTATTGTAGTTATGGAGCAGTTACAGTTACCAAAATTTACACTAACAAAATCCAAGGGGAAGGTATTCTATTCTTCATTTTTATATTCAAAACCATCCTATCTTTGAAAATAGAAAACAAATTTTAAGTTAAGTCAGCACTGTATTATGTACAATGCGGATTATATATGTTGAGCTGACATTTTTGTTATACATAACACAATTTTTAATCAGTAAAGTTACTTAAATTTCATTTTACTATCATCAAGAGAAACTATTTTACTGCACTGGGTTTTGATTGTTGGCATTAACTTTCCTGTTGATACTCATTGTTGAAACTCTGTGTACCGGTAGAAATATCACGCTTTAAATAGTGACCTTGACCTACATAAAAGATATATTAGAACAGACCCTTAATGTCCAAAGGTCCAATCAGGAGCATGCTGACCCAGCACCTCCATGCCACACCCTTGTAACGCCTCACCACACCTACCCCCATCTCCTACCTGCGGGACCCCGTCACCCGTCAGCAGCAGACAACTGGTCACCATTTGTTTCAAATTTTAAAGTGCCACATTCAGAGACCACCACCACCGCCACCACCACTTTTCTAAGGGGTTATCATCAAGTCCCTTCACCCAGCACAAGTCCAATGTACCCTTCCTGCAATTCACCGAGATCCATGCCCCACATTGCACACCCACTTATGGGCGTTAGGAAAGATCTGGAGATAATTCAAGGGTTTCAGTCTGTCCGACAAGTTCTGTTGCAGAATTCAAGCCTGATTAATGACATCGACAACTTCCTTGAGAAAACCAAGTGATCTGATCATCATCGTCAATGTTGATACAGCGCTGCTCATCATCATCAATGTTGATAAGCTCATGTGTTGATGCTCTGGCCAGCATCATCACATTTTTCCACTCTTGACCAATCCACGGGCTTTCATCTCCACACAAGGATCCCCAGCTGATGCTAATCCAATTCCACATCATCTATTCCTCTCTTAGTCTACAGATGAGCCATCTGCCTCTTTGTTTCTGTCTGTATGCTCAACTGATCTAAGCCCACCCATTTTTTTTTTCAAGGTCAGCTCATTTGAATAAAACGGTGAGTTTTGTACACAAGACATTTCAAAGAAAATTTCTCCCACTTGAGGTATTCAGTTACCGGCACTCAACACTTTATCAACAATCTAAAAGCAACCAGTGGCAAATTGTTATCCCATGAATATTTTCATGGCAAAGTCTTCAATGTAAATTTTTGTACATGTAATAATACATAAAAGATATGTACATATGTCCTATAAAATGTATATTTTGGATATAATTGTAACTATCTCTCTTGATTTGTTATAAAATGTAATTGTAAATTAAAATGTTGAAAGCATATATGTACATTTTTAATTAACTTGCATTCAAATTGAAACAATAAAATTATTTTTGAACTTTTCAAAATAAAAATTATCATCATTCAGTTGTAGTATGACATCACATATGGTAGATGTCTTTTAAATAGTAATTACAACAAATTTGTTGTATTAGTTAAAGCCAAATAATGTTTGTACATCATACCAAAATAGATCGTAGTCATTTTGTGAAAATAACTTTCATGGAAATATATCCTAAGTGCAGACCTGTTTACTCTTACGATTTGAGCGTACAATGTACGATTTTGAGGTGTATACATCATATATACTGTATGTTTATTTTTTACTATTAAGATAATGTATTGAACGATTTTGTGATGATATTGTACGATTTTAAAGGGTTTGAGGGTAAACAGGTCTGCAAGTGGGTAAAACTTGTTTATGACTGAGAAATCATGTTACGGTATTGGCCAGTTTTTACAAGAAGTGGCCTATAGGCTGAAATGTTTGTTACTGGCAGCAATACTGAGAAAATTACAGATAAGGGGAGGATACAGGTAGGTTAGCTGTTTGAATTCTTTGACCATATTGAACCTTAAAAATAATATATATTTTTTTTTAATCAATGAAGAAATGGGGGGGGGGGGGG